AACCAGTTCTGCTCACTGGGGAGTTAAATCAGCAGAGCCACTGCCAGGGTAAATAGCACATACAGCCAAGTTACTCCCATGCAATTAATCGACTGAATCTCCTCTCAAAACTCCCCCCACATCTTCTTCTTTTTCTTTCTATTTGCTTTGATGTCCTGTTCAAAATAAACGGAATATTATAACTGCAATGATACTGGCCAGTCAATAAGGTCATGTGTTTGGTGCAGCTGGTTTAAGAATAAAACAGGTCAGTAACTTGATCTTTAGTTTGTAACACTGTTGGTTGGCTGCCACTTAAATCAATTTTATTGGTGTTTTTTTTTTTTTTTTACATCAAACCTTTTCTGGCATTTCCTACGTCTATCAATAGCAATGCTGAGTGTCCCAGCAATAGATGCATCCCACAGTTTGACTAGTTTTTACATGCATCAAAAATGGCAACATTTACAAAAGCTGTAATATAAAGCAAACATGTAACTTCCCACATTCTCAACATTTTTCCAAGGTTTGTAAATGGAACGATGATGACAAAATGACAACTGATGTGTGTAATTTTGCCTTCCAGCTACAATCTCCGGCAATTTGGGGTTTGTTTGAGTGATGTCAGTGCAGGAAGGTAACGTGCGGACAGACAAAACACAAGTGCTTAGACACGTGACAGACAGAATCATGTGTAACCCTTACCCTGTATTTTTAAACTGAAAACCAAAATCATTATGTGATATGTTGATGTGATAGTGTCAGGAGACAGACTATACTCGTCAAGGTGTTAATACTTTTTTAAGATCCAATGTAGTGGTTTCTAGCTCAGAAATTCATTAAAATGTTTGTGTTTCTCCAACAGGGAAAATACTTTAGCACTTGCACATGGACAGAAAATGCAATTGCATCAATTTTTTTTCAAACAAACCTGGATATTTAGGAATACATTTTTTTTAAATGTTTAAGTCTCCAATCAACACACAGTTTATAGGGATTTTTTTTTACAAAATCAGTCTGAGCTCTGTTAGTGTGTGGTAGAGGTATCCAGTGAATATTTTTAAAAAGACACCCTCATCAAATGCTTACTACGGTATTGCAAATGGTTCTTATTTTCACATTTTTTCAACTTTATCCTGAGTCTGTTTCATTTAACTTTGACTAACATATATTGTTTTCTTTATCACCGGAGAAGATGTAGAAACAGTTTTGTGTTTTGATCTGCCATTCTTGACTTTTTGGTTCTGTTTGAATTTCCATTTTGGGTTTAAGTGATGCTTTAATTTATATTATTCTGTGGTGTTTGTCAATATTTGTATAATTTTTGAATTCTTAGTTTCACTCTTTCTTGTTATTTCTTTCAGTTATCTCTTTCTTTTTTTTTTGCATTTTTGGGATTATTTATTCCTTGGTCTTATTTAATTATAGTTTTTCTTTCTCTTATCTTTAGGTTATGTTTTCCATGGCTTCTCCAGTCCCTTCCCTTATCCTCTAGTTTCCCCCTTGGTCATTATATATTTTTGAGTCTTTGGTCCTATTTCCGTTTTGCTTCCTTTAAGTTATGTCCTAGTTTTATTTATATATATATATATATATATATATATATATATATATATATATATATATATATATATATACCCCTCCTCTGCAGTTCCTCACTGCTGGAATCTCTTATTTTGTATGTTCCCTGCCAATTCAGTCTGGATTAATGCCTCTGTTGCCACTTTAATCATTAAACCTACAAGAAACCATCGCTGAGTTCCAATTCAGGGGCTGCGTCCTCCGAAGGCCAGATTCGTAGGATGATTACATCATAGCGTGGCGCCGAGATCTGTTCGGATTGCAAGACTCCTCGTTATGCTGCCAACAAATGCATCCTCCTTTTTGCCTGTTTTCTAGGATGGGTCCAGTGTATCATATGTAGCCTTGGATATCCTGTGACTCCGAGCAAGCTGGCTGCTCCCTGATTAGAGGAAAAGATGATAGCGCTGAACAGCGGAGAATATTGTAAGTGAAGTTTATTATAATACAAATATGTGAATAGTTCTGAAATTTATGAAAACTGTTTTTTAATTAGTTAATGAGTCAGATATGTGGCGGATAATGTTCGGTTTATTGAAAGGTTTTCATCTGTCCCCATGTAAATGGGTCTGGTTGTCATATAAGGACAGATTCTAATATATCTGTAGTGTGGGTACTATAAATCTGATACGGTACTGCTGTTGAATCTCCTCGAAAATGTTAAATAAATATATAAAAATAAACAGCAGTGAGAAGTTCGATATTCATTCTTTTCCTGCTTTGTGTGTCAAATCTCATGGTGGCTTAGTGACAGAGTGTACGGGCAGTGAGAGTCTTGGAAGGCTGAACCTGGTTGAAGCCACTGTCCTTATTTTCATGGAGCTCGAAGGATCCAGTCCAGATAGAACGGGTCCTTGGAGAATGCAGCTGGTGAAATCGAACACACCCCCACTCTGCATTTGGGTCCAACAAACCTTACATTCTGTTTTTCAACAACAACAACAACATAAAAAACTAGTTATTTTTATAACTGATAGGATACTTACCCCTTATAGTTACTCCACATGTTCCCATTTACAAAAGATCTAAATTTTCCATTGAGGTCAACAGTTTTTACTTTTGTACATTTGGATATGATTATAACATAAGAATTTTAGCCATCTTATGAATTTTAAATGTTTTTGGTAAGGATCATAAGGCCACAAATATTTACAGTCCATAAAAAGACAGCAGGATGTTCCTGTTCTCTGTGTTTCTCTCAAAAGGTGCTTTGCCTCCTCTATCAATCTCTCCAACCTGCCTCCCACCTGTCTTTGCTCTCCTCCCTCCATCCTCTACCCAGCTCTTTATCAAGCCTCCCTTCATCAGCACAACCCTTTATTATCTTTTGCTACAGTGTTAGCAGTAGAGTGCCGTCAGCCTGACACTCTATCCCCTCTGCTGCCGTGCCCCTGCTTTCCAAAGGGCAGGAAGGCCCATCCCTGGCCCGCTGCCTGATGGGGTCTGACAGTGGTGTGTTCTGGGATTACAATCACTGAAAAGGGGGCATTCCAGCGCTGGCAGCTTTTGTCACAACACGGCCACTGTTTGCTTTTGACAAGACAGCTGTTCAAAGCGCCCCTAGCCCATGTGTTTGGTGTGAATAGAAAGAAGCAGAAGGTGACTTCCGTTTATCTATCAAGGGATGTCTGCTGGTACCTTGACCTTACATTTCCTTCTTCAGCATGTTAACTTAAAAATACAGGCAGCCTGTCTCCTCAGTAAAACATGTATGACATTAGACAAAGCAACACAGAGTAAACAGGTTACTGATTAACAAGTAGATGTCTTGAAAAACTTCCTGCCTTACACTTATATATATAAAAAAATAGCTATCACTTTTCAAGCAAGGGGTCAGAATAGTGAATTCAGGAGTGGCCTATTCTCTTGGTGTTGGTCTAAACTCTAGCAGTGAATGATTTTCAGTGAACTACAGATGTTTATTGGATTTCTGCTATGGGATGTTGATGACAAAATTACAAAATTCCACCTATCCCTTTGCATATTCAGTCATGCCCCACTTTTTGAGTCATGTTTAGATCACAAAAGAATAAATATTGTAAATATTTGAAACAGTGCAAAACACATTTGTATTTTTGAAACTTCGCATCAGAGTCCAGAGCAATGCGTTTACATCTGCATGGTCTGTAGTTGTTTATATCACTTAGAACAGGTGAGAATGAAAAGTTGTAATCATGCAATAATTTCTACATTAAGTTGCAGGAAATTCTGGAATATCTACTTACTGATGGCACAAAGACATGCAAAATTTTGTGTTATCAGCAAAACTATTTAAATAAATGTTAGAATAAAAAAATCAAAATTAGGGACACATGAAGATATTAAATAACAGTGGCCTGAAAACAAAGCCTTGATGAACACCACTTGTAATGATGTTGACATCTAACATATTTCAACAAATTCTATCCCAGTAATAGGTTTAGGGTAAATAAATCAGTATGTAATGGTGTGCTGTTGTAATTGCAGTCCAATTATGACAAGACAAACATTTGACATGCTGATAAGATAAAACAAGAATGAAAAGAGAAAATTAAAATTAAAGTTAAAAATAATCAAATGAAAAGCAAAAGCTCAACCAAACCATTACACAGATATCCATGCTTTAAAGCCTGCATCATGAAATAAGTTTCGGAAAAGTCTATTTTTTTCAAATTAAAGTTTTCTTTAAGTTAATTGTGACAAAAAGGTTATAATAAGTTATATCATTGCTTTGAATAATTTTTGACACTTTTTTCCTATATAATATTTCTATTCACTACATGTGTCTGATTGTGGGGTTTTCAAAAATCAAAATGTTACACTGATGAGGCAGAGGTCTCAAAAACTCATGTATAAATATGATAAACTTCCCTTTAAAGCATAAATATATGTGAAACACTCACCATGATACACTAATAAAACATTGCAATGTATATAAATAAGAAACAAACTTAAAAAAAACATTTTTCTCATTAGTAGGTTTTTCTTGTTTAGTTAATAACCCTGCAGCTTAATACCTCATGCTACCTCCTCTCTTCCTCTCTCTGTTTAAATTGTCTGCGTTCAACGCTTGTGCTTCAAAAAAATCTTGCTAAAGGAATGACAAAAATGCCTTCTTTTTTTCTGTATGACTGAAATCTATTTAGGAGGCATGTACTGTAATTAGCAAGTCATCCTGATGAATGCTTGTTGGGCCGATGGAAGCAGCTGGTCCTACACAGAGGAATGATAATGAATGGATTGCTTAACTTAAGGAGACGAGCTACATTCAACAGTACAGGTGGCACAAACCACAGAACATGTAACATTTCCTTTTTAGAAATTAATACATAATAATTATTATGTAGTTATAACACTGAATATTATACATTTGGATCTATTAAAAAATAAATAATAGGCTTAAAAGTGATGCTTTTTAGCAGATGCTCAAAAAAGCTTGTCTTGAGATATAGTGCCATCTTGTGGCACATTGGCTTTCTAACCAACTTAAAGGTATGGTGGAGGATGTTCTTTTTTAGGTGGATCATCAAAATTAGTGGTCCTCCTAAATGTCAATCATTCTGCTGATATGTTCACATAAGGCCATCCTATGCGCTCGTCACCATTTTCACTTACCGGTGGTGAGTCTGACATAGTGGAAAATTGCAAATCTTTTGGAAAGTAAGCTTGTATGAGCAATGCAGACAGCAACTTTTAAACAGAGCGTGCACGAAGAGAAATGGGCTCGTGCATGCTCTCACATGCTTTTAATAGGTGCGGACACAGGGTTTGTGCATGTGCATTTTTTTTAAAGTGGATAGAGTGGGTCTTTTTTTTTAAAATCACAAAAAAATCCTCCACAGTAACCTTTAAACTGTAAAGAAAAATTGACTCTATTCATAATGAATTTGTTACATATCAGTTTAATCATAATGCATTAAAAATATGGCAAAAAACAAGTATTGAATATTCGATTGTTTTCAAATAACAAATCAACAGGCTTGTAACATTTTTATGAAAAACATAATCATATCTCTTGGGCTGGAAATACATAAAACAGTGTAGAGTTCATATATTATGACTTAGATAGTGGGTTTATTCCTTCAAAGCTAATTTTTTTACAAATGCAACAGCTTGTTGATGCCATTCATGTTTTAGGACAACTGTCTGACAAATTCTGCAGCACCGAATCACTGAAATTTTTGAAGCACCAAATGAAAACATAACCATGACACAGACCCGATGACTGTATATTCCTATTACAGATAAGGCAAACGTGACTTGAGCTAGGTTTTCTGCTTACTTATGTTTTGTCCATACATTTGAGGTGGCTAAAAAGTGTCCAAAAAAGATGGGGTAAAAAGCGTACTTAACCTATATTTCAAAATTCTTCCCATATGTGAAATTCTTTTTCTTGAAATATAATTAGGACGTTTTCCAAATGTCACCAACTTCACACATTTAAGACAGAACAGCAGTGAAAGTTGAAAGAGAAATTAACCAGAGCATATATGAAAACCATTCCACCAGAAAAAGAAACAAGAAATCATTTATTTTCAGTGGTAGACAAAAGAAAGACAAAACAAAACAGGCTATTCTTTAATAAAAAGGCCAGAAGGAGGGATCACATGTGAGACTTTGTATGTAGATTCACATTGCCAATTTAAGTCTAAAATTGGAGCAGTCCAGTCTTATTTGAGGTTTTTAATTTGCTGGTTGGTAGCGTTAATCTTCAGATCCATTTTGTCCACTTTGTTGAGCAGGGAACCGATGGAGTCATCCTGTTCTTCAATCTCCGACTGAAGCCCCAGTCCGAGGTTCTTCAGTCTCGCCAAACCACTGGACATCTCATCTAAGGCATTCACAAGGAATGTTACACATTAGTCTCACAATGACCAAGAATTAAAAAGACCATTTAACCTTACATTAAACAAACTTTAAGAACCTTTTATTTTTTTTAAGTAGACACGTGATGACTGTTTATGGTAATAAAATATATATTCAATCATGATACATTTGAAACCATACATGAAATAAACCTGTTTTATAAATTAATGAATAACAGGGATATAAAAATGATAGATTATTTTACCTAAATTGTTGTCGAGGGTCTGGTGAGCCTCCTTTAGGTATCTGTTCTGCGGGTATCCATTCTGTCTGGATGAGCTGTCATCCATGGAAGCAGCAGCTCCAAAACCTGCAGGAAAAGAATGAGTAATTTTTTTCATGTATTTTAGTAGGATGATGCTGAAAACTTAATTTTGCCCGCTCTTACCTCCTGTATCCAACTTTCTTAGATTGGGGTGACTTGCTTGGTATTTATCCTCATGTTCTTTGCTGCTGGACATGGCAGTCTGTAGTCTGAGATAGTTACAAAAGCACCATTCAGCCAATCAGTGAAAAAGTGAAAAACAATCATAATAAAATCTAAAACTAATACATCTTCACCTAGCAGAAAATGAGTAAAAAATAAATGTAGCCACAATAGCAGGTCACAACAAGGAAGTGATACAAAGAAGGAGGAATTGAAATGACCTCTCATTAGCTTGGTAGACCTTTGGCTGTTCAGGTGCAGGCTTTGTTTCTGGTTTTCCCTTGAAGTAGTTGACGATTCCTCCCCACACACTCTTGATACTGGTGATATGCCTTTGACTGGTTTTCAGATCCTCCTCCATGTTGTCTAACATCCTGTCCGTCCTCTTCAGGGCCTCTCCCTGTCGCATCAACTCCTATACAGACACAAATGTCAAAAAAATAGGTGATATTCAAAAGAAGAAGGATGTAATATTTCAAAGCAGGAATTATGAGCACAAGAGTGTTTTTCCCTAAACCAAATGGTTGAAATTGTACTTCCACAATATAAATATAAGCTCATTGTGCAGCTACAGGTTTTGGTGCATCTCTGCGTCAGATAAGGGGAAGGCCTAATCGCTGCTTGTAAGAGATCACGACTGGTTTCAGCTGGTAGTTTATCTTTGCTATGCTAAGAGGGATTTGTTTAACAGGACATATAAGAATAATTATCAGAGCCCGAGGACATTCTAAGGATTATCAAAAGTTGGAAAAGTCTTCAGGAAGCCATTTGTCAATAATCACAAACCTCAAAATCAGTTCATTGATTCAAATGAGTTCAATCAGTGTTACATAAATACAAGTTAAATGGATGTGTCACCACATCCCATGTGCTTGAAATTTGCAGCTAAATACATGGACAAACCAAATGCTCTCTAGTGATATTTTATTAGCAGATGGGACAGAGAATGAGATTTGTGATAATGAGAAAAGGTCAGTTTGTAAAAAAACAAATGATCATGTTTGGCCTTATAATAATCCATCCATCGATTTTCCGTCATGCTTATCCCTGCTGGGGTTGCGAGGGGTGCTGGTGCCTACAGTATCTCCAGCTGTCAGTGAGAGGCGGGGTCCAACCTGGACAAATCGCCAGTCCATCGCAGGGCAACATAGAGACAAACAGGACAAACAACCATTCACGCACACACTCACACCTAAGGAGGATTTAGAGAAGCCAATTAATCTAACAGTCATGTTTTTGGACTGTGGAAGGAACCCAGAGTACCCAGAGAGAACCCACATATGCACAGGGAGTACATGCAAACTCCACAAAGAAAGACCTTAGGCCAGAAATTGAATTCTGAATCTTCTTCTACACATTGTATTCATGCTCTCACACAAACAGATTTAAAAAGAAATTGTGGAAATCCCAACAAACCCATAGAGTTTTGGGAAATGTAACCTAGTTGAGTTTTTCATCATACAAATTGTTAATCATATTTATGAGTAATGAGAAAATGTAATACTGTAACAGAAAAATAATATTTTGACATTACTCTTTCGTTGGTCGCATAACATTGATGGAAAAAATGCATAAAACACTATAGCAACTATTACAGCATGGTAGTGGCAGCATCATGCTATGGGCTAGTTCACCTTCTGTTGTTTAGAATATTGAAGACAATCAAATACCTCCAAATTCATTGACATCAGATTAAATAAGTGGCTAGATGGTTTATGTTCCAACAGGACAAATTATCCCAAACACATAATCTTGCAGAATTATACAAAGTAGGTTTAACAACACTGATCTTTTTTATTGATTTTTGAATAGCAACAGTATCAACCCTACTGGCCAATGCAATATTTATGGGAAGTATGATCTGTATTAATTTTACTTTTAACAATGACTGAAAAGGTGTTTTAAAAATCAATCTAATTTATGGGATAAATGAGATTCGTGGCTTTTAAACTTTTAAAAGTTTCTACTGAAATAAATATTGTCTTAAAAAAAGGGATTTTGAATTTAAGAAACAGAAAGAAATACTGGGAGTAGATTTTATTTCCCAGGTATAGCCCGACAAGACTTTCATGTTCACATAAGTGTAAACTTTTCAGCGCTATCTGACTGTACCTCTGCAGTCTCCACACCCATCTTCTCAGATTCATAGATGAGACCGATCGAACGATAACTGCTGTCCACTGCTGACTTTGCTGTGCGCATCACTTCTTGCTGAAGGTACCTCTGCCTTCTCTCCGCATCTGTCAACCCGCTGTCATCTTCATCTTCAAAGCCTCTGTTTTTGGGTTTAAAATCTTCCTCATTGTCATCATCATCAGCAAATGGGTTGTGGGATTTTGGGTAGGCCATCTGTGAGAGAAACACAATGTTGAACTAAACAGCCTTTCACTCAAGTTTTCAGTGTGTAAGCATGATTAGCTTTAGTCAATAATGAGCTTTCACCCTCAGTATTATGTGTAATATAGAACCAATACCTACAAAAAACGCACTTAACTTTCCTATCGTTTAAGCACATTTTAGATACACATATTTGAGAAAATATCCGTCTTACTCTGGTACCTTTTAAACTTTACAGTACGGTTAATAACACAACAAACCGTACAAAATAACTATTACAGAACAGAGTCTTTATCACCTAATCTGTTATAGCTTAGTTAGTAAAAGTGAACAGTTTAGCAGAAGTGCTGATTTTATTATTTATTTCTGCTTCTAAAGGATCAGCTGATTGAAACTTCGTAATATAGACGACTTTTATTTAATACAGAGCGCGTTAAACACATCTTGATTCCCGATTTAAGTGGTATAGCAAACATTTTTTAACGATATTTGGCTGACGCTAGCCAGCCGATTAGATATGACCAATGGCCGCACCCGCTAGCAAAGAAACTACAGCTCGGCAGACCAAAATTAAATTTAATTTCCTCATATATTGGAAAAGTCACATTTTTGTTTGTTTCGTAAACAATGGTAAAAACCATGGTGACAGGCAAACCTTTTTACTGTCGAAATCTCCAGACGTTGTAGTTGGTCTCTCAGCTGACCGGTAGCTTCCTGTCACGTATAGTGACGTAACTACGTCACTTCGTAGTGGATAATTCTGCGTAACAAAAACGCATAAAGCAGACTGAAACCACCAGCTTCTCAAAAATGTAAAACACGCGATATCTAATCAAAGACAGAGTTGTCTTTATCAGTATACTCCCAAAATTATTTTTATATTTTTATAAGTGTAATAAGATAATAATAATAATAATAATAATAATAATAATAATAA